TTTTTTTTTTTTTTTTTTTCTATGTTTATTTTTACCTTTATGTTTGCTCCTTGTCTTGTTCTAGGGGTGGACCGCCATGAGCGGCTATACATGGGGGGGTCAAGGGGGACCGCCATGAGCGGCTATGCATAGGGGGTTGTCAGGGTGCGGCAAAGACGGGATGTCGTGGAATGTGTGTTTGTTTGTTTATTATTTTTTTTCTTTCTAGGGATGTTTTTTTTTCTTCTCTCTAGGGGTTTTTATGTTTGTTCCTTCTCTTGTTTGTTGCTGTGGTTGTTGTGGAACTTGTGTACGTTCCTGTCACTGTCCATCTTTTACAGGTTGATTCGTCGGTTATTCAGTAACTTCGGTGCAGTTCTTTGTCGTCGGCGTCGGAGTTCGTTTCAGTTCACCCCTTCTGCAGATTTCATTCGGTCTCCACAACATGTCTGACCCACGAGGCAATAACGGGAAGGGCCCCGCGGAGTCCTCCTCGGCAACGGGGAAAAGGGCAGAGGGTAATAGAAAATGTCACAACACGAAAACCTTTGACTCCCCTTTCAAGGTGGATCCAAAGGCGGACGGAAAACGAGATGATCCTGTTTGGCATTTCGTTGCTCGTGGTCGTTATTTAGACGGATCCACTGCGGTCGGGAGGAAGAACGGTCGCCGTTGTTTGTGCAGGTTATGCGGTCGTTCTCTATGTGGGGGTGCTCGTGATGCGAAGGAACACTTTTTTCATGGCGAGGGGTATAGATGCCCCGTGGCGACTCCGGCGGTGTGGCACGCGATTTGGTCTAAGGATATGTTCAAGTGTCCTGCACATTTGGCTTCTGTCGTGCAGGCCTTGCAAAGTCTCCCTCTAGGTCATCCCTCTTTTCAATGGCCACCTCTTCATTTTCCCGAGGACGTCGTTCCGCCGCCCCCATCGACCGCCGCCCCCTCGCAAGTGGCGCCATCTCCATGTGGACCACTTGCTCCCCTCCCCCCTCGTCCGGCGGCAGTCTCACCTGCGCCGCTTCGTCAGACGATTCCCGCAGCCGTTGATTGCAGGTCATCTATGGCAGCGCAGCATGATGCGCAAGGCACCGTGACAGTTTCGGGTGTCGGGGAACCTGTGTCGTTCGACGAGCAAGGCACTCGTGCTTTCGTCGAGGGCGATGGGTGGGGGAAGGGTGTTGGCACATCATCCGGCCTCGCCCCGTTGTTCACTGGTAACAGGGACAAGGTCCCAAGAGTTCGACGCTCAGGCACACGTCCGGCCGTGGCAGGAACACCAGCAACAGGACATCAATCCGCTGCGTATCCATGGTTGCCTCCCCCTCCTTCGCAAACACGACAGCCTACACCAGACTTGACTTCAGCACCAGTTGGCGAGGCCGCTGCAACGGCCTCTGAGGGTGCAGGAAACGTCCCGCTCGACGAGCCCGTTCAGGTTTCGGATTCGTCACCCACTCCTGTGCCCGTGAACGGCCCGACCTCGCAGCACGGTGTTTTTGGGACACTGGATCCTTTAGAAAATTTGTGCAACATTGCAGCTCCGAGTCCAGGCCCCACCGCATCATCTGCGGTCGGGGGCGGGGTGTGGGATTCGCTAGGTATGGGCGCCGGTACACGAGTGAGGGGCACTTACAGGTAGCAGGCGGTGACCTCGTATTACAACGACCTGTTGGAGCACGCATGGCACCTGCAGATCATGCGATTTATTGTCGAGAGCGGCATGTCGTTCAACTGTGTGAAGCTTGAGAGCTTCAAACGCATGTTGACGTTGATCATCCCGCCTGGGGTTCCAGGAGCCCCCACCCCAAAACCCCCAACGTATCACATGATCCGTACCACACTTTTGGATGAGCTTGATGTGGAAGTCAAAAAGTGTGTGAAACCTGTCCTCGCTACTGCAGCTACCTACGGTTGCACAATTATGACAGACGGTTGGACCAATATTCAGGGCCAAACGTTGTGCAACTATCTCGTCGGCACTACACGGGGCGCCACATACGTCGCGACAGATGTTATGTGAGGAAAGAAGGATGCCACTGCTCTCGCGCAGGCTTGGCTGCGAAGGTTGAAGTCCCTTGACATCACGCTCGCTGACATCACCGCTTTCATCACAGACTCTGCCAGTTCGAACGTTTCTGCGATTGAGGTGTTCCAGAAGGATGAGAGTGTCAAGCACATCTTTTGGATTCTTTGTGTGGCACACGTCATGGACCTCACCCTTGAGGACATCAGCGGCGTTGACTAGGTGGCGACCCACATTGCTCAGGCGCGTTTGGTCACAAAGTTTTTCAAGCGTCATAGCCACGCTCGCGAAGTTTTGCAAGCTTTCACAACGAAGGCTCTGCTGCTTCCYGCCGAGMCTCGCTTCGGTACGCATGTGATTATGATGCGACGACTTCTTCTGCTGCAATCGCATYTTAYGCAGGTGGTCGTTGAYGATCGATGGAAGGACACTGTTTGGTCAACGAAGAAGATTCGAGACGATGCCGCGGAGGTCACAGCATGTGTCGGTTGTCCTCAATGGTGGGAGGATATGAGAGCGCTGTGCAAGTTGTTGGATCCCATCATGGAAATGCTGCAGATGGTGGACAGCGACACGAGGCAGATTGCCAAGATTTTGCGTCGGTACGACGAGATGATCGTGCGTTGCTTGTCTGCATGTGCCGCTTTGGAGAAGGACGAGCAGGACGCGATGCTTGAAGTGTTTGACAGACGCCGCTCCATGTTCAAGTCGCCTGCTCATGCTGCTGCCATGATGTTGGACCCCGAGTTTCGAGACCGGACGATGCCAGACGACGAGGAGATGCAGCACGGTTTGAAACTCGCTCTGATTCAGTTTGGGTACCCGGAACATTCGGATCAGCACAACGAGGTCCTCACTGCCATTGACAAGTTCCATTCTAGGGAACCGCCGTTCGACGACGTGGTCATGGACCGGGCGGCGAGGAGCTATACCCATCCAACCTGTTTCTGGGAGTCGAAGGAGAAGAGGTTCCCGCACACGGCCTTCTTCGCTGGCAGGATACTGCGTGTGTGGGCGACTGCATCGCCTTGCGAGAGAGCTTGGTCCCGTTGGAGTTTCATCCACTCCAAATCTCGTAACAGATTGGAGGTGGCGCGGGCCGAGAAGCTCGTGCGATGCCATTGGAACCTTCAGCTCCTCGACAGGCAGGCTATGTTGGACGATGCTCCCAATGACAAGCAACATCCGTATGGGAGCTGGGTGCACTACTGGCAGCAGGTGAAGGAGGAGGTGCCCACCGACCAGCAGTTTGTGGCAGACCGAGGAGCCCGTGTGACGGTCACGAAGGAGGAGTTGACACAGGCGACAGAGAGGATGCACGCCGTGTCCCGCATGGGAGCCACTCGTCGCTTGCGGGAGTCTGACAGGAGGAGGTGTCGTGGCGGCGGTCGCGGAGGTGGTCGTCGGGGCGGTCGTGGGCGAGGCGGGCGTGGAGGTCCTGGTGGGAGGCGTAGTGTCGCGAGTCGTGGAAGGGCAGGGGACGAGCTAGTACGCAAGCCTCGACAGCGATGGGATGAGGGAGACTTTTTGTACGAGAGCTTGTCCAGCGATGACGAGGATTTCTTCGGGACTGGCAGGCCTGCACAGGATGGCGACAGCGATTTCGACGACCGTCACCCGGACGTGGACGACGATGATGGCGCCAGTGACGATGATCACGGTGACGGAGGCGATAGGCCACGACCTGCACATGGTGACACGATGCGCGCCGACGGGGCAGGGGGCGAGCACCGCATAGCACTAGATGACGCTCGAGATAGAGTGGATGATGATGGTTCACGACCTGTCCCGGGCGGTGACCTGAGGGGCTTGCAACGCGGACCAAGGGAAAAGGACACTATCGCCTCACGTGTGCGCAAATGTCATGATGGGGTTGCTAGCATTCCACTAGCACGAGTCCCCGCAACTGAGCAGATTCCAGTTTCCGTTGACTCTTTATGCGATCACGACGGCGAGGAGCGGATCGAGATGCATGGCGGGAGCGATCATCCACGAGGTGACACTTCGAGTATGCACGCGACAGCTCCGATGGGGCCTTCCGCAGCAGTCCCAGAATCGCAACAGGGTCCAGCACCGTTGATGCGTCATCCCGAGGTTCAGGGAAAGATCRGTCCTCTCCCGRCAGTGMGGGACGAGGGTTCTGYCGGTGCACTGCATCCACTCACGTCTGYCGGAGCGGCAGTCTCAGTTGCAGCGACCTCGGATGTGGGACAACCACTGGCAGCGGTGGAGCAAGAAAGTATGCTCCCACCTCGCAGTGTTCAACCCAATGTATGCAGGGAGGGGGTTCATATGCAGTGATCAAGCACGCACGGAGGCGATGTAGTCAACACTATACCGCGGCCACCGCCTGCATTGATGGAGGGGAGTCAGGGGACCGTTGCTGTGTGTCTAGGCGACGATCTCCCGGAACGTGAGATCTCACACACTCCCGCAGCCGAGCAGAGCGCCACAGGCCATGTCGGCCTCGCATGCCCCACCGGCAGTCTTCCGGGTACCGGCGAGTTACTGAACATGGACTCTGTGCTCGTTTCTCTGCCGGACTTGTCGACGTTGATATCCCCACGTCTACCCCATGTGTCACCGCCCAAGACACAACAGCCTGTCGTCATGGAGCGTGGATCGGACGGGTTTGACGTGACAGGAGGCGATATCGCCGATATGATTACGAGCCCAATGGTGTCTGCCACGCCCACGATTTTTCGTGTTGGCAAACCACGCGAGGTTGCCCTTGGTTTGGCGGAGACGGCGACGCAATACCACCGCGACGGTCGGCGCAGTATCGTACAGCGCAGTCTTTCTCATTCGTTTGACGGCGCAGAGGAAGGGTCTCCTGGTGGGCCAGTTGACGCAGTCGAAAGAGAAGCAAGACCCCCAAGTCCGCCGTCAAACTCAGAGCATCATCCGATTGCCGCGGCTGTCGGCGCAGATGCGAGCGTCCCTGTCGCAAACACTTTGGATGCGACAGTACAGCTTGTGGTTAGGTCATCGCCGACAGCACGGCGCGACAGAGCTACTGTTTTGCCGACAATGGCATTCTATGCCAACGGGAAGAGTACTGGGGGGATGGATGAGTAGGGAGTCCGGAATGTTGGCAGACCATCTGCACCGTCTACATGGACACGATCCATTGAGAGTGTGGATGGTGCTCGACACACCTCCATGGCAGAGTTTGAGGACCGACACGGGAGTGCTTTGCCGACGAAGATGTCCGATGTCCATGCTACGGGAGCCGTGAAAGCGAGTCTTTCTCGGGCAAGGAAGAAGGCCTCGGCAAGGAAGGCGTCACGTTCATCCTCACATATGCGTTCCCGAGAGAGAGGATCGGGCGTTGTGCATCTYGAGGACGGAGAGATTGCACCTGACGGCGACGCATTGGATGTTGGAGGGAGRGATGCAACGACGGCGGATATCGTCGGCAGGGAGGGCACAGGGAATGCAGTGGCAGGTCAGAAGAGACGCGGCAGTGTACTTATCGTCCACGACGACAACACGGATGTCGCCCCGGGAGAGACCACAGGCACTGATGATGCAGGGGACTCCGATTACATACCCAAACAACGGGCGGCGGATAGAGATGATGGAGGAGGGCGACGAGTGAGACCGAGGACACGACTCGGGCCGTAAGGGCAGCGAGCACAGGGCACACCATCGGCGATGATTCCTGCCCCCATAGATCGGCGAGCTCAGGCGCAGCGGTTGCTGTGGAAAATGGAGGCCACTCTTCAACAGACACACGGGTTATCGCTTGGCCGCGAAGAGACGGAGACTCGGAGACAAGGAGAGAGGGAGGGAGAGAGAGAGAGAGAGACATAGAGAGAGAGAGAGAGAGAGAGAGAGAGAGAGAGAGAGAGAGAGAGAGAGAGAGA